TGTGGGTAAGGAGAAAGGTATACATCTTGGAAGTGTCTCAATTAGGGTTGAAACGAACATGGAGGAAAAGGATTCAAGCATACTTTTGATTTGCTTACAAATCTTTGCATTGGGGTTTACTTTCTCTTTTTCAACATTCCAAAGTTTATTTTTTTAAAAAAAATCTTGGGAAAAGATGTAAAAATATTGGATCGGATCCCATGGGTCTGTTCCACTAGGGTTGCCAGCCCAGTGCTGGCAAGCAGCCGGAGATGGGTGTGGAGACTTGGTGAAATGATGTCACATGACACTGTGATTTATGGATTTATGAATTGTTGCCAACTAGATGATATTCCTGTTTTAATTGTTTTAGTACCATTTTTCTATATATTGTATGGATGTTGTTCTGTTATTGTTACCTGCCCCGAGCCTGCTTGCAGGAAGGGCAGGATATAAGTTGAACAAAATAGATAGGTAGATAGATAGATAGATGATGTAATGTCCAGCTGCGTAACCATAACTGATGTCACTGTGTCTTGTGACACTCTGGGATTTCCCTGAAACTCTAACAGTAGAGATCAGAGAAATTCATAGAGCATTGTGCAACACAATGATGTCACTTCTGAGTTCCTAGCTGGAAGTGATAGTTTGGCATCACACAACAACGCTTTCCTTCTCATTTTTTCCTCTACCACTCTGTTGGTTACCAGTGGGGAAGGGGAACACAAGCTGGGGATCCCCAGTTCCTAGCAGGCAGAAGGAGACCAAGGGAGCAGGAACAGTTGGAAACTCTATGGTAAAACCACAGAGAAGTGTGATACTACTGTTTTTTTTTTTCTAGAAGTGCCATCGTGCCATCATCACTGGCACTTTGATTTTTTAAAAAAATCTCCCTCTCAACAGTCGTTGGAGTGTGTGTGGGCAAGACCGGCCAGGAGTGAGAGATCATCTGTCCCCAGTGGGCAATGTTACAACCTTGGACATCTAGGAACCCTATTAACAGCCCCACTTTTCTCTAGTGCAGGGCACTTTCCCCTAATGCAAGAGGCTTTTCTGCTAGCATCAGGAGAAGACAACTTGCATTGGGCAAAGGTTCTGCCACCAACAGGTACATGAGGAGCAGGAGGCATCCAAAGACAGGTCATGGCTTGGAAGCAGAGCATCTGCTTTTTACGCATACAGTCCCAAGTCCAAGGATCCGGTACCGGTTGATGTGAATGATTTCAGATCCCCCAAAGAGAGCTACTGCCAGTCAGAAGTCAGAACATACCATATTCTCCTTGATAGAACATAAGTTGGACTCAGTAAAAGCCGCTTTCATGGATTCTTGTTGCTGGTTCTGGTTTGGTTTGCTGTGGTAAACACAAGTTAACTGGGGTTGGGGTGGTCTGCCCCCCCCCAACTGGATTGTAGCTCTTTTTTAATTTAAAAAAACACAAAACTATCTCTTGAAGTTGAATTTCTAATCTAAAATTGGAAAATGAAGATACAACAAGGTGTTGGGATACTGCAACTTATCATCAAAAAGTGCAAAATATACACCTTGGGGTGGAGGAGGGCAAGTTTGATTCTGACTTATCTGCTCCAAAGTTGTCCACCCTGTTCACGGAGTTAGTTTTCTTTCAGCGACGTTTACTGCAACAGGATTTTTGCAAAAAGGAAATAACTGACTGCAGACCACTGATGTGACAGAGAAGCCTTCAGAGTGCAAGCACTAATAAACACTAAGACACAGCAGAGAGAGAAACAGCAAGAGGTAGGCTGAACTGCAAGAGAAGCCATTCAATTAACCCTAAACACTAGGGAATGCACCACAGCTCCTGCTAGGGTACAAGAGGAATGGACCAAACTACTCTTTCAGCCATTAACTAGACTTTTAGCAGGCTGCCGCTTCTCCAACACACCCCGCCAGGGCTTTTTTTGTAGAAAAAGCCCAGCAGGAACTCATTAGCATAATAGGCCACACTCGTGACAGCACAGCTCATTAGCATATTAGGCCACAACCACATTCCTTCCCTTGGCCTGCCTGGGGAAGCCTCCCCCTCTTGAAGGGAAGGAAGTTTAAACTGCCTTCCTTTGGCTTGCCTGGGCAAGCTGGCCCTTGGAGGGAAGGGAAGGCATTTTAAACTGCCTTCCCTTGGCTTGCTCAGGCGCCCCTTTCCTCTCTAGCCACGCACACAGAGGTTAGGGCTGTAGTAGGTGTGGCCAACTCTGAAGCCAGCTGGAACTCCATTCCTGTGCATTCCTGTCCAAAAATAGCCCTGCACCTCACCATCCTCTATGGAATAACAGGATTATTTGTAAGCTTTTTTGGGGAATCAGGATAAGCAAAGGAATCTTTCAGTATTATAAAAAGTATCTGGGGCAGCATTTATGAAAGATGGCTTTCCTATGAAGAATCTTTCCAACGCAGATTGATGAATGATGTGCATGAGCTATGATAGACAATCCTCTGCTTTTATATCCTCCGCTGACCGGTTCTTGCTCACGAACCTGTTGGACAGGATGCTGCTGCTAAGATTAGCATCTGATGCATCAATCGGTTTTGGAGGAGGGATGTTTGCTTCTGGCTACTCCATAGTGGGAAAATGCTGGCTTGAAAGAAATAAAAAGGAGATTGGAATTGAAAGGTGAATCCACGACTCTTGTGTATCTATGCGAAAGGTGCAGTGACATCAAAGAAATATGTGCATCTGGCTCTGCAGGTTTAGATGCCCAACGGCTTTGACAGCATCTCTAAGATGGGTTCCAGGGCTTATTACACTTTATTTTGTGTGCAGGAACAGGTGATAGACACCAGAGGTACCTGGCAATTATAAAAGGCTGTCATTCTGCCTTTCTTCTAGATATGTACTCAACAGACATTAGAAAGAAGTACTCTGGAATGGATATAGTAGAGTTAAGACAGTGAAGTCATTAATGTTCTTGAAGGGCTTCCTATTTTAAGAAAAGCATGAGAGTTCAGGTGACAGCCAGGGATAAGGGAAAATGGGAAAGACACCATCCCATCCCCAGCTCCAGCATATATTACATACAATCTGGACCACAGTATCTTAAAAGATCTGTGTAGCACAGTGGTTTGGAGGTTGGACTGAGAATTGTGAGGCCCAGATCCAAGTCCCTGCTTGGTCATGAAGATGGCTGGGTGAATTTGGACCAGTCTTTTGTACTAATGCATCTCACAGAGTTGTTGTGGGAGGGAACCAAAAGAGAACCAAACCTTCTATGCCAGCTGGAACTCTTTGCAAAAGCTGGGATTAAAACACAATATAGCACTCCCACAAGTAGAGAAACAGAGGAGTAATGCCTCTGTAATTTTGCTCACATTAAAATTCAAAGGGAGTCTGAGCGCTCCCGCTTTGGTGAAACCTGTACAATCTCTTGAGTTGCAGTGAAACTAACATTTCCTGGGAACAGGGCAGGAGATCACACATCCCCTTTTACATAACATATGGATCCAGCTGAAACCGTAGGTGGTAAAAAAACTCTGAACTCTAGAAGAAAGCCTTCTTGGCCCTAAACCTGATAAACACTCAGAACCTGAGGGTGACCTCTGATATGACCACTACCTTGGATGCAAGTACCATGATATCCTGTAGCCTTATCCCAGTCTTGCTGTATGGAGTTTCTTCCATCAACAAGAGCTTTGGAAAAGTGTCCAAAGCATCTCTAAGAGCACACAGCAGCACTTTCTATTCAAGTGAATATTCAAGTGTGTGCATGAATTTCTGGGTGAGGGCACCAATAAGAACATAAGAGAAGCCAAAGTTGGATTAGACCAGTGGACCATCCAGTCCAACACTCTGTCACACAGTGGCCAAAAATACCAGGTGCCATCAGGAGGTCCAGCAGTGGGGTCTGTACTTGTACTGGTCCCAATGTTTTAGAGGAGCAGAAGGAAATACGTAATCAAATAATTATACATGATTGTGATACAATAAGAATATTATAGCTGAGAAATAGGTATAATCAATGACATAAATACTCATAGTTCTCAAACAGGGAGCTCAAATGGTGCACTTATTCAAACTAAGTTGCTAGTCAGGTAATATTGTAGTTTCAGTTAAGTATCAGCATTGCTCAATTTTTCTTGTTTTGAAAGTGACATATAGGAAACTCCAGCATAAATTTGCTAAGCTATAATTACTGGAGACATAATTCTTCAAATACATAATTTCAACCATTCTTGGTCTGCAAACAAAGCCTTTTTGAAATAAATCCATTACCACTTCATTGCCGTTTTTTCTGTTTACTTTGCTGTTTTGCAAAGGTATTTACTGCTAGCAGGCAAAACCAATCTCCAAAGAAGGCCTTATATTACTTTTTTTTTGTCTGAATTAACCAAGCCCAGATATTGTGAAGAGATATAAAGCAGAACCTTGAAAGTGTCATATCAGAGGGGACCCTTTCTTTTTCTTCTACTACACTGGCATTATCTCATCCAGCTTTGCTATGAGCCGACAACTGTACACTGCAAACTCCATCCCTGGAAGAAGAAATTTCTCTTCTGCTTCAGATATATGTGGTCTAAAGAGACGTAGATCAAGGGCCCCTGCTGTATCTCAGCTTGGTGGAGAAAGCAGAGTCAGTGGCTATTGCACCAAAAGCCTTTCAGGTATGGGTGGAAGCCGAAGAATAGCGTGTGGAAGCTACTGGATTGGAGGTCAGAAGTTTGGCAACATATACTATGGCAGCCCCAGGAACTACACTGAGCTCCAAAATTATGCTGGCAGCTATCGGAATGACCGCTTCCATGGAGTCAGGGTCAACGAGCACCTCTTAAAGCCACTCTCTGTCAGAGTTGACCCCGAGATCCAGAAAATACGAATTCAGGAGCGGGAAGAAATGAAATCACTCAACACCCAGTTTGCCTGCTTCATCGACAAGGTCAGAGCTTGAATGGCTATGTTCTTCTCTCCTATAAAATAGCAGGGAAGCCCTTAAAAGAGGGATGAGCGATAGGAACTCTCAGTCTGGGGCCAGTGATGCACTGTATTCTTGGTGCTGGGAGGGAGCAACAGTGGAAGGGCTTCTAGTGTCCTGGCCCCACTGCTGGACCTCCTGATGGTGCCTGGTATTTTTGGCCACTGTGTGACAGAGTGTTGGACTGGATGGCCCATTGGCTTGATCCAACATTGGCTTCTCTTATGTTCTTATGTTGTTCTTATGGGTGGATTTGCACACCTTTCCTCTCCTTCACTGGTTCAAGTGACTCTCTTTTCTGTGTTCCACTCTTCCTTAATATCTGGTTTAATTTGGAGAATTTCTACAATGGATTTTGAAACTGGGATTGTCAGGAACAATGTGATGCCAATTCAGTCCCATTCATTTATTGGCAGCTTTTTCTCCCCCTCTTTGCATTACTGATGTAGATAGTGCTGTTATTACTTTAGAATGCAGATGGGGGAATTGCATCATTGAATGATTTAGGCCCCATTCACATGCCGAATTTGCAGCGGGAGAGCCACGAATGCTGGGTGGATTTTCAGGGTGCAATCACACCGCAACATCTGGCAAGCGTAGCGCACCCATGGCCAACCCATGGTGTGCTGCCGAAGCTACGCGGTTAAAAAGTATCTCAACAAATATACTAGCAAATGGTTTGCCATGGGCTGCCGATGGAATCGTTCTGTGTGATCGCGCCAGCACGCGGCTTTCCCCCGGCTGTCCTCCTTGACGCGCATGCGCTGAAGGACAACCGCGGTGTGCCGCTATCACGTCTGCTCGTGTTCTGGTGGGTCTAATTGCGCCGGCGCAAAGAACCACGCCTCCCCCCGTGTTATCTGGCCCGTGTGACCAGGACCTTAGTACATTTTGAAAAATTCCCTATACATGGGAAAGTATTTATCATTTTACCATCCTGCCTTCCTTCCATTGTGGGATGTAAAGTTATGTAGACTGAACTCTCAGGAGCTCTCCCATCTAGGCACTGACCAGAACTATATCTGCCAGTGCGGACTGACTTTTCAGCTGTCTGTGAATGTTCCTGATTGGTCATTGCCCTATAAGCAGAGTAGTGCAGTGGACTTCAGTGAATTTAAGGACCCAATCCTAACCATGGAAGTAAGTGGCAGACATTCTTTTTCCTGACAAGTCACAGTTGCCATATGGAGACCTCATGAGGTTTTCAAGACAAGAAAGATTTAGAGATGGTTTGCTATTGCCTGGCTCTGCACTTCCTTGGGGGTCTTGCATCCAAGTACTAACCTGGGCCATCCCTGCTTAGTTTCTAAGATCTGATGAGATCTGGCTAGTCTGGGTTTTCCAGGTCAGGGCTTGAAAGTAAGTTGCAGACATTACTGGCTCTTTTTCTATAAGGCTAGGTTGCAAGTCCTGCGGGAAAAAATTAACAGCAGTTTGTAGTACAACTTCATAAGGCTGGCCTGTTGAGAACCCAGCACTAAAAATTCTGTGTGACATGCATCTCTCCCCCATCCTAACCTCTGTTTTTGTGGCTGCATTTTTTTTTTGTTGCTTCTTTGATTTCAGGTCCGAAACCTGGAGCAGAAGAACAAGGTGCTGGTGACCAAATGGAATCTCCTGCAGGAGCAGAGGCCACCGGTTAAGAGAGATCTCCGACCTCTCTTTGAAAATGCTATAGGTGGCCTGCGCAAGCAGCTGGATTTCTTGCTGAGTGAAAAGGGGCAGATGGGACCACAGCTGCAGAATATTCAGCAGTGCATGGAGAAGTTTCAGTGCAAGTAAGCATTAGCCATGCTTGATGGCGACACTTCATCTTGCTTGTGGCTCTTCTCTGAAGCAACAACTTCATTTGGTTTGAATATTTAGAAGAACGGGCTGTTGCATAGGCAAAACCAAACACACACACACACACACACACACACTGCCTAGTACATTTTTATTCCATTTGTCCTCCAGAGAACCTCAAGGTGGCTTACACAGTTCTCTCCACTTAATACTCACAACAGTCTTATGAGGTAGGTTGGGTTAAAAGCAAATTCCTTGGCCCAGGTGGGGTGGCTCTGTATGTCAGAAAGGGTATAAAGTCCAGAAAGATTGAGTAGCTAAGTGAATTGGATTCACTTCCGGAAATTCTATGGGTTGAAATAGGGGGGCCAAAAGGAAACTTAACACTGGGAGTTTGTTATCGCCCACCAGATCAAAAGATAGAGGAGGATTATAAAATGATGAATGAATTCAAGATAGCAGCTAGACAAAAACACTGTGTCTTAATAGGTGATTTTAACTACCCACATATGTGTTCTAGTCAAGAAAAAGAGATTGAGTTTCTAGACACTCTAAATGACTGTGCTATGGAGCAGATGATCACAGAACCTACCAGGGGAGAGGCGATCCTTGATTTGGTCCTAAGTAACACTCAAGACCTGGTGAGAGATGTAAAAGTGATTGCACCACTTGGGAACAGTGACCATAATGTTGTTGAGTTCAACATTTGTATAAATAGGGAATTGGCCAAAAACACTGACACAACCACTTTTACTTTAAAAGAGGTAACTTCTCTGATATGAGGGGACATGTGGGGAGGAAAATGAAAGGAAAAGTAGAAAGGGTCAAAACCATTGGGGAAGCATGTATAAATAGGGAATTGGCCAAAAAGACTGACACAACCACTTTTAACTTTAAAAGGGGTAACTTCTCTGATATGAGGGGACATGTGGGGAGGAAACTGAAAGGAAAAGTAGAAAGGGTCAAAACCATTGGGGAAGCCTGGAAACTATTTAAAACTACGATCCTAGAAGCGC